AAGGAGCTAAGTACTTCACCAAGCTAGATTTAAGAAGCGGCTACAATCAAATTCGAATTGCAGATGAACATGTTCACAAGACAGCTTTTTGTACTAGGTATGGACACTTTGAGTATCTAGTGATGCCTTTTGGTCTCACTAATGCACCAGCTACATTCATGGGATTGATGAACGATATCTTTCGCCCTTATATAGATAAATCTGTCATTGTTTTTCTAGATGATATATTGATGTATAGCAAAACTTTGAGTGATCATAGAAGTCATTTACGAGAGATACTTCAAGTTTTAAGAGACAATCAATTGTATGCCAAAGCTTCAAAATGTGAATTTGGCAAGTCAAAAGTAGATTACTTGGGTCATAGAGTTACAGCTACAGGAATCCAAGTGATGAGTGAGAAGATAGATGTCATTCAGAAATGGATAGCACCCGAGGATCAAACTCAATTGAAGAGTTTTCTAGGGCTCACTGGATTCTATCGTAGATTTGTGAAAGGTTTTGCTCGCCTAGCTCAGGCCTTGACTTCCATGTTAGGGAAAGGTCAAAAATTGAGATGGGGAACAGCTCAAGAGTTAGCTTTTCAAGCATTGAAAGATGCTTTGTTACACGCACCTATTCTCAAGTTGTATGATCCTAACCGGTCTATCAAGTTGGCCACTAACGCATCAAGTACAATAGTAGGTGGCATACTTCAACAAGAATGGGAGGATGGATGGCATCCAGTTGCTTTCTATTCTCAAAAGTTGGTGGCGGTGGAACAAAATTATCACACGACAAATTGGCAGGAGTTAGCCATCGTGTTGGCAACCAAACATTGGAAGCATTACTTGGGTGATAAGGAGTTTGTGATGGAGACTGATCATAAACCCTTGGTTTATTTGGAAACTCAGAAGGATCTGTCCAAACGACAAATTTGATGGGCAGAGTGGCGTCAACGCTTTAACATGAAGATTGTGTACGTGGAGGGAAAGAAGCAACTTGCAGATGCTCTCACACGCATGCCTTGTTTGAATCATGTTGCAGAAGTGAAAATTCAAGCGGATTGGTGGAGCAAGATGTCACAAGCCACAAAGTAGGATGAAGAGATCACTCGAGCACTACAAACTGGAAAGGCAGAGAAATCTCGAGGTTTGGCGTTTTACAATGAGCATATATGGATTCCACAAGATCACGATTTGCGCACAATGATTTTGGCAGAAAGTCATGATACAACCATTGCAGGTCATGTGGGAGTGGAGAAAACCGTGGAGAGTATACAACGAGTGTACTATTGGCCCAAAATACGTGAGGATGTGGAGTCTTATGTTCGAAGTTGTGTTGCTTGTCAACAAAACAAGGCAAGTAATAAAAAACCAACGGGTTTATTATAGCCTCTTCCTATTCTCGAACAGCGGTGGGAACATGTCACCATGGATCTTGTATGTGAGTTACCAATGACTTCGTTAGGACATGATTCAGTGGTGGTTTTTGTAGACAAATTGAGCAAGATGATTCACATCAGGCCAACCACAAAAACAGTAACAGCTTCACAACTAGCTCAATTGTATCTAGATGCAGTTTTTGTGAATCATGGCTTAAGCAAAGTGTTAATCACGGATAGAGTTACTCACTTCACTAGTTTATTTTGGAAACTTTGTTTAGTTTTTTCAAAACAAAACTAGCAATGTCAACGGTCTATCATCCTCAAACGGATGGACAAACTGAGAGGGCAAATAGAATCATAGAGGATATGCTACGAGCATTCACATTAGAAGAGCAAGAAGAGTGGGACAACCTTTTTGCCACTTGTGGAATTTGCATATAACAATTCTGTTAATGCATCCACAAAAGTGTCTCCATTTTTTCTTATGTATGGAGCTCATCCTATAACTCCTTCAAGTTTGATGAGACTTCCCAAAGGAGAGGAGTTTTCGACCAAAGTTGCAGCAGTCAACGAATTTGTGGAGCATATTCACTGAGGACTACATCAGGCCAAGGAGAAATTGGTGATAGCTCAAAATCGGCAAAAGCAGCATGCCGATGCTCATCGTAGAGAAGTGGTTTTTGAAGTTGGAGATCATGTTTGATTATCTACAACGAATTTGTCTCTTGTAGGAACACCAAAGTTGAACCCTAGGTTCATTGGTCCATTTTTGGTTTTGAAGCGTGTTGGTGAAGTGTCATACAAGTTGGAACTTCCGTCACATATGAAAATACATCCAGTATTTCATGTGTCACGATTGCGAAAACATGTACCACGACCAAAACAATTCACCAACCAACCAGCACCACCTCCTCTTCCAACCTTGATAGCAGATCATGAGGAGTTTGAGGTAGAAAAGATACTCAAGAAACATATTCGAGATCATAAATATCCCAAAGTACAGTATTTGATTCAATAGAAAGGCTATCCATCGTATGAATCAACTTGGGAAATAGCTAAAAATTTAGCAAATGCACCTTTGATAGTTCAGGAGTTTGAACGTACGTGCAATGAGGACGTTGCATCTTAAAAGGAAGGAGGTTTGTAACCATCTTTAGTTAGTTAGAACTAAAGTAGAGTTTACTCTAAATATTGATGTAGATACTTTAGTGTGTACTAGAGCTAGCTGCCACGTCAGCGATCCGCGCACTCGGTAGGTACACAGTGGATATGTTAGTTGACAGTGCCACGTCAACAATCCGTGTGCTTGTAGGTAAGGATTGAGTGTGTTAGTTGGGTGCGCCACGTCAGCGATCCGTGTGCTTGTTTGGGTTATCTGCCACGTCATCCATCCACTATGAGTGGGATGGATGGTGGAGATTAGATCTTATCTCCTTGTACTTGTTGGTGAGAGCTATATAAGGGAGAGGAGAACCATTGTTGGTATCTCTTATCTTCAGAGTTTACGTTTCTATCTTCGAGTGAGCTTCTCTCTAAACTCTAGTGTTACACATGCATAGAACAAGATCTCATAGGCTTGCAATTGAGTAATGACGTTGGTTGAATATTGATAGGAATGAACGGATTTGTAAGTTATGTGATGGAAGAAATATTGATGATGAAGAGCATGTGTTTCTTACTTGTACTAGATATATAGAGATTAGAGTATCTTATAAAGTTGTTGTTGAGAATTTCTATTCTTTGCTTCAGCTTGAGCCTTATGATTTAGGTTGTTACATTAAGGATGTTATTAGTTACCATTCTAGTGCTCTTGGCACTAGCTATGGGTTCTTTTGGTTCTCTCCTAGGTTAGAGTTGGATTGTTTGTATTGTGTTTTTCAGCCTTTTGACACTTTTGATCCCACGGGCTTGATCTATTTACCATTTACCATATCATAAGCTCAATTGACTTGTTTATTATTATTGTCTATTCATATTTGAGATCCAAACTTAACGTTGCTCGCAGAATGTTGATGCATGACATATTGTTTTTGGACCTGGTGGTTGAAAGCAAAATGTAGATTAAAATAATTTCTTTTTTGACTTTCAAGTGTTGCGCATGGATGATAGTGAAGTTTGAATGATATCTGTCAACATGTGACTGAAGAGAATTAGTTATACAAGTAGTTGACGTGTGGAAGCATCAAACCATACTTTGGATCAATACTTTAATGTATCTTAGAGTAAATTACTTGATGGGATAACATGTGAATGAAGAGAGTTAGTTACACAAGTAGTTGGCATGTGGAAGCATCCAACCATGCTTTGGATCAATATTTTTCTGTATTTGAGAGTAAATTACTTGATGATACCCATCATATTTCGTTGTATCCGATGGTAGCCATATACAACACACCTCACAAACTTCTTGTAATAACCTTGAAATAAACGCGAGTGCAAACACTAGTCTCAACACTAACTTCGGATTGCAATGGATGTTGGGCACACGAGAGAGCATTCAAGACCACAGAGGTTGGAACTATTTCTTCTTCTATTTGAGTATAATCGTAACCACAACCCTAGCCACCGATACTTGAAAGTTGTGAGTTGCCCTACGCACTTAATTCAAGTACTCATTGATGAGCTTGTTGTTTGTTCAGACTCTTCAAGCATACCAGTTGCAATTGTTTGTGTGAAACAACGGTAATTCACACTACAGAAGTTCTTTGTTCAACAAGGAGTTGGACTTTGATGGAACTCATTCTTGAAACTAACATCTTCTTGTAGTTTGCAAATTCGAATAGAATTCGAACCATCGAAGTGAAATTCTATCCGACTTTAGTGCTAGGATCACAAAGTCATCGGCCAAGTTGGTCACATAAATAAGAATATAGATTCAACAAAGTTGGAACTTCCAAGCTGACACTTACCCACGCCATAGCGAATATTTACATTAACAATTTTTAGAACTTGGTGATGGGTAAAATAGGGTAAAATGAAATGTAATGGGTCCCATGAAGTAATTTACTCCTGTACTTTACTCGTGAGTGAAGTTTCTGGGTCCCATCAAGTAATTTACTCCTGTACCTTACTCACGAGTGAAGTTTCCCGGTCTAGTATTCTAATTTTATATTTAGGAAGGAACGTTGATGATTAGAATATTGAAATTCTAGGCTTTTTTCCCCAACCTGTGCCTTTCTCTTGAGTATTTTGTCAGTGTGAAGATGTCCAGTATCGTCATCGTACTGGACACACTCGAGAAGTGTCAAGTTCTTCTAACAGTGTGCACATGTAGCGTCCATGTTTCTGTTCTGCAGTACCATCTGAGAATACCAAGGTGTTATTAGACTCCTGTTCTTATCGTTATCACGATTTAAATAAAGTCTTGTGTTCTTGTCATCCAAAAGTCTTCCAACCTGAACCAGTTCTGTCACATTACTCCCAACAAGCATTCAGTTAGATGTGAAATTCATACACCTGAAATGCGTTCTAATAGATTAGAACGCATTTCAGGTGTATGTCTACTACAGTATATGGACCAAAAGACGTCTAGAACCCTTCAGCTTTTTTCAGTTATTATCCCTTGGTTGTTGCCAAGTCTCAGGGATCCCCATTGACAAAACCTAGGATAGATCCCAAACTTCACATGGGCTGGATGGCCGTAATGAAGTCGGTAGATTTATAAGTTGATGCGTATCTGAAAGTCAAAAGGATACAGCTCGATACTGCCCAAAATTGCAGAAAGACTGATCTCGCAATGCAACAGGATCTAAACACTCGATAATGTACAGCACATCAATTTCACAAGACAATTCTCGACTTCAACTACAGAAAAGTCAAAATGTATGCTACAGAATGCTGTCGTAAACTCTCTGCTACCACATTTCCTGCTTGAGATGAGGAAAGAGGTCAGAAGTTCCGGCTTGAGCTCCCTGATTAACTAGAGCAAAGAACAAATTTTCTCTAACCGTGGGCCTCCCAGGGATTATGGAATCCTTGCCTTGCCCAGAAGGTCCATAATGTGGATTCCATTTGCAGATTCTTGACATATCGGCCAACTTCCCACACATTGTCCCCAGGACTTTGTTACAAGGTCCAAAGTTGGTGAATCCACATTTCTCATTATATACAACAGGGAGTCAAGCTTTCAAAATTGTATACATAACAATGCCGGAATCACGGCAAAAAATCTAAGTTATTCAAAAACCCTTCCATGACAGAAAGCTTCTTCTGGACCAAATATATGACAAAAGGAATGGCGATGGTGAACGTGCTCAGAGAGCAAGTCAGAGGGTGCAAATGGAAACCTCAAATCATGAAGTTTTTGAAGCCACAGCTGACGATGATTGGGCAGGGGACTTGGATGGCGAGGACACATTTTCTGTCATTGGCTGCGTAGAAAGCTCGCATGCCGAGGGCTCATCTTCTGCCAGAGATTGATAAGATTTGGGTGATTTTGGCGGCGGGACAAGCAAACTTCTCCTGCTCATAGACCCGGAGCTGTATGAGGAACCAGCGCTATGGCCCAGGGCTGCTTCGATCTCAGCCATGTTCGAGGTCAAAGGGAGCGGCCGATCTGGGATCTCAGGCACTGCAACATCGCTCTCGAGCATTTTCAACGCTTGGTCTATACTGGGCCTGTAATAAACCTGAGGATGGGCACACAAGAGCCCGGTGAGTATGAATCTCTCCATCACCTCGTCTGCAACAACATCAGTCACATTGGGATCGATGACCGACTTCCAGTTGCCCTGCTTGACGAAAGGCCACACATAATCCGACAGAAGGATTGGAGGATGATCGTCCGAGGTTGTCACCAGAGCCCTCCTCCCTGTAACAAGCTCCAGAAGCACCATCCCAAAGCTGTAGACATCACTCTTATCAGTCAGCTGGCCATACAACGCATACTCCGGGGCGACATAGCCATAAGTGCCGGCGACTTTGGTGGTGAGATGCGAGACTCCCTCGGGGCTGTACTTGGCCAGCCCGAAGTCCGCAAGGCGAGCATTGAACTCGCTGTCAAGCAGAATGTTGCTGGGCTTGATGTCTCTGTGGATGATGGATGGGAGAGCATCATAGTGCAAGTAAGCCAAGCCTTTGGCTGTGCCAATGGCGATCCTGGTTCTCAAGGCCCAGTCCAAAATCGGCCCACCCCGTTTGGGAAACAGGTGGTCCTGCAATGAGCCATTGGGCATGTAGTCGAAGACGATCAGGCGCTGGTGCCCATCCAGAACACCTCCTCCATCCACACAGCAGCCCCGGATGGCCACTAGATGTTTGTGCCTCACGCTGCTGATGATCTCCGCCTCGTGCACGAAATCCCTGTCCCCAGCAGGCGAGCAGTTTTTGAATCTCTTGATTGCTACCACCTCTCCATCTGCAAGAGTGCCTTTGTACACATTCCCATAGCCTCCAGTGCCCAGCAGATTCTCGTTGGAGAAGTTCCCCGTGGCCTTCTTCAGATCCTCGAGACTGTACATGAAGACAGTGCTGTTGGGCTTCGTCGTCTTCTCCATCAATTCCATGTTTCTGCGTTGCCGAGCGGCCTTCTTCTCTTGCTGTCTCCGCCTGTACCTCCAGAGCATGATCGCAGCTCCGATCAAACTCAGGAGCAGAATTGCACCCACTCCCAGCGCGATGTATGCTAGATGTGCATTACTACCGCCATCTCCAGGAGGACTGATGTACAGAATACACAGAGCTGTGCCTGGATCGAGTGGCCCAGGAATATTGACAACGCCAGCGACGAAAGCTTTGGTGAAATTCTGGCACCCCACGGTGTTGTTGGTGATTCTCACCGACTGAACAGCTGACGCCATTCTCGTCTGGGCGGTGCTGCAAACCCCACAATTCGCAGTGTTCTCCAGAGAGCCCGCGCACGAGGCGTTGACATCGGTGAGCTGAGCCACAGGAACCACTGCGTTCCAGTCGCTGACATTTTGCACGCCCTGGCAAATGTCATCGGTGCGATCGAGATGAAACTGCTGCACGGGGCAAATTTGGCTCAGGTTGAAGGTGCTGGGTAAGCCCTGCTTCACCAGCTGCACTTCATAGGCCGCGTAGCAAGGATCGGCCGAGCCGGAAGGAGGCAGAAAGTAGCCCGTCTCTCGTAAGTACACGGCCAGCACCATCTCCAGCCCTGCTCGAGCTGCTGTGCACTGGATGTCCTCCGCATTCACTCGCTTCACGTTGTCCGCCACATAGGGATACAAATCCAACACCGTGAAGTTCAAAGGGCACTCGATTGCGCCGCTGCTCGATGGAGGGCTCTGTCCAGTCACCTGCGACATCCCCTGCGCCAGCACCACCAACAGCAGCACGACCCTGACAGACCACCCTCCTAACCCCTGCCCCCAATTCCATAACAGACTCTTCTTCATCGCAATTCAATTCCTGTCTGCCTGACTGACAGTCCACCAACAGCCTACAAAATCGAAGACATCATTCGCTTCGTCCCTGCCTCCAAGTCCAGCACACCATGATCCCAGGCTCTGATTTGACTTTTGGACCTGAATCAGAATGTGGGCCAGTTCACGGGAGCAGCTGAACACTGAGCTCCATGCTTCCGTGAAAGGCACGCATACAGAAATTCCTCATTCCTAAATTAATGGCGCCAAGCACCAGAGGTGCTAGATTCGGTTCCTTCAGCGGTCCACTTCCAAAGCTACGGGCACCACGGGCCTAGAAGTCGTCCATTTGACGACGGCGCATGCCTCCCTCGGGTCCTGATCGCGCATCGGAGACACCTCCCAGCCCACAACCGACGACTCACTCCACCTTGATCGACTCTAAGCACCACTGTCACGGGCATTCATTCCTTGCGCCCTTCCTTCGAGCTGTCAGCGCGAGCTGGTGGCCACTCCTCCTCTCGACTCCATCGCTCGACCACTGCCTCGCTCGCCCAATTCCTGCCCGAAATGCCATTTGAATTCCTCCCTCATCCGGAATTTCAAATCTTCTGCCCACTGCTGGCCCTACTGCTCCCATAGCGCCTCAGACAACATAGACGACCTGTAGCAGCACTCCGCAGATTAGCCAGCCCCCGGAAGTCACTCGCTGCCGCCGCCACCCGTGCCCAGACCTTGAACGAGAAGGAGGAGGATGAGGAGAAGAAGAGAAAGCTTCAGTCGTGCAACCCTTCGTTGCAAGGACGATCGATGAGGGTTTACTCACCGCTCTGCTCTGCTCTGGTTTGTGCTCAGAGCTCGAAAAAGTGTAGGCGTCCAGCGCAGCGAGAGAGAGAGAGACAAGTAGCTGCCGCCGCTGCTGCTGCTGCATCCACTTGGTGGTGGGCTGCCACTTTTTCTCGATGCCTACTCTACTGCACGACGCTGGCGGGTACCCGAGGATAATACCTCTGTGGGCATTTACGGCGGATTCACATCATCACTCACTCCATCCCATCGAAGGTGTCAAGCGCTTGATGCTATGCCACGCCACGCCATGCCCTCGTCGAGTGTGCGGGGTGAACTTCTCCTTGTGCTTGTGCTTGGAGCACAGGTGTGATGAAATGCTCGCTTCCTCTGCTTGGGGTAATCGGGGTGCTTGGGCTTGGGCTTGGGTTTGGTTTGCTTGGGTTGGGCCCGAGCTGAGGAAGGTAACAGAGAGCAGGAGTGAGCGAGTTGAGGACTTCGATGAGTGGAAACCAATGGGCTCCCCCATCAGCAACCATTCTGTTAGTTTGTTTGGTTTGGACCTTGGCCATTCCTCCAACTTGCATGCGGATGGCAAATTGGGTTTCGCGTGTTCCAGTTACTTACTGCACGAGGCCCCTTCGTAATGCTTGCATAAACACTAACTCGTTGACAATCGCATCTCTGCCCCTGCCCCTGCCCCCGTTTGGCCCATGTGTCTGCCAATTCAACCCCTTCTCTCTCTCTGAGTGAAAGTGCTCCTTTGGTCGCTTCCCCGATCGGCAGAATTGACACGAGCCCCTAAATAAGCACAGTCCTTGGCCCCCGGACTGACTGACTCCGAGCACAGCACTGGCTGGCATCAGTCGGGGACTCGAGGCGCCGCAGAAGAAAGTTTTCGCCTTCTTAGGGGGCTGTTCCATGTTGGTGGGGGAACCGTGGGGCTTAATGCCATTAGCACCACGGTTCCCCCACCAACATATCGGGGCTAATGGCATTAAGCCCCGATACCTACTGAAAGGCACGCTGCGAGCTTGGATCCTCTACTCTGCCTACCGATGACCATCAGCAGAAAGCCTGGAAACTCTGGAGGAGGTAAAATCCCCCCTCCCCCAACAGCTCGTCTTAGGAGATATCCCAGAGTCACCCAGCCCCAGCCCCAGCCACAATTCAGTGCATTGATGTTGTTCGTCTGCTGCCGACCCACTGACTGACTGACATGCTGGACTGACAACTCAGTAGTACCGAAATGCCCGACTTCTTTGGGGAGCAAAGTGCCGGGCTGCAAAGATCAAACTAGCCAACGTCAGCTGATTATGATCCGATGATCGAAGTCATGGGACTTGAAATCGGATGAAGATCAGGAGGGGCTCGACCAGGCAGGCAAGCAGGCAGCACTTCCGACAGAGAGAGTGAGTGTTATGGCGGTCGGTTCCAGGGCAGAGACAAGCCATGGAGTTGAGCCCAGTGTGTCCTACACTGGATTCGCCTCAACTCGACTGCCCCCCTCGAGTCGAGTCGGCCCACCAAAGCGTAATGATCCTGCTGCAGCTCAGAATCAGACGCAAACGGGTCGATCCTTGCCCCTGCTTTGTCAGCGCACGTCTGACAAGGATCGAGCATCCACGTGTCGAGAACCCAACAGGTCTACCACCCACCTGAGAATTTATACGATCGCCGGGGATCAAGCATGCAATTCATCGTCATCTAAGATCCCCGACAGCTGATTCTGCCCGTATTTGCCCATATTATATTACCTTCCAATTTATTTATTATCGTGCCATCCAAATAAACCCCCGCCCTCCTTATATTCATTCCATATACACTCTAGTGTTGGGTCCGCCAGTCCCCCTCAAAAGGGCGATGCGATCCCTCGGGACAAAATTGAAGGAACTGAGTCTATTTTAGAGAACGTGCAAATATTAGTCGTTACCTATTTCGAAATAGTAAAATGAAAATAAATAAAGTCCAGGCTCTACGCAGCCGTCTCCTTCGACTGCAATCTCTTCTATGTCCTCCCGTCAAGTCATCCGGCTGTTCTGTCATCGTGCAAAAGGGTATTTCGCCTGTCACATGGTGCCACCGAAGGACCCTATGCTATGAACCTTTAATAATTACTTTCGGGGTGGAAATGAACGTGCTGTCAAGCCTTCTGGCAGGTCGGATGAAAATGTTTTTCTCGGTGAAATTCAATGCTCACATTGAATACCAGAGAGTTGATTTTTAAATGTGAGAGTTTGGAGGGAATTTTCAAATGGTTTATATGTGCTAGGTTTTTCTTCTTCCAATCTTTTCCTCTTCCTCCCTTGTTCCTTTGGTATATAGATAGAATATCATGGAAATCAAAGTAGAAAACTATCCGTGTTTTAACATTTTCAGTATTGATAGCTCCAATGTGAGATGGATTGTCAAGGATTTGTGATTTTGTATGTTGGAGAATTACGAGATGGAATGTCATCATGTGTTTCTTTGTTGTCTTTGTGCAAGATATAGCTTCAATTATAGTCATATGGCCGCCTCAAGCTGCAAGCAATGTGTTTTCCATCATGTATAGTGTGTCTATGTACCTCGCAAAGGTAAAATACTCATGTGAAACCAACACTCAAAGATTATGATTGGACCACTTTGGATGAGGGAGAGGTCAAATGGATTTTTATCTTGCTATTTTCATGCGTTTTCAAATATTGTATTATTTCAATCTCGTCTTTTCTTCATTTTGTGAAATCACTATGATAGCAAAGCAAGTATATTGATGATCTTTGTTTTCCAAAATTACTTCATTAGCTCCTTTGTACTCCGCATACTCCATGTTGTTGAAAAGTTGTTGCTACATTGGACATTTTACTTCTGATTTTGATCAATTTTGGCAGAACTTGGTAACATGATATATTTTTTGCATGCAAAAATATTGACGATTATCATTACTTTTTGCTTATACTAAAACAATTCTATTACTTACATATTTTTATTGCAAATTAAAAGTAATGATCGCCAAATCTCATATTCTAGTTTTGATGATAGATCTTGTGATGATGCATAAACTTCTCTATGTCAAATATTTCCTTAGCTTGTTGATGTAGTGTAGGTTGAATCTTGAACATTGTTTGATAATTTACTGTGTGTGATTTCATAAGCAATCAAAATTTGTTGAAAAATTCAGATTTTTTTATTGATTGTGAAAGAATTATTTATAATCAACTTTTTTCATATTTAATTTTTTAACCTTGTTTGAATACATTCAAGGTTTTTGTTCAACATATATTCATGATAGATACTTGAGAATCACAAATTTTTTAATGTATTCATCAATATCTCATTTTTGCTTCAAGTTTCACAATTTTATTCTTGTTGTTTGAGAAAAATCAACAACTTTAAAAAACTTGAAAAATCAACAAATTTTAAAGTTGAAGATTTTAAAGTAATGAAGAAGTGAAAAAACCACTTCTTCATTCCATTTCACGAAATTGAAGCATCTCATTTTGACAACATTTTGATAGCACATGTATCATATAAATGATTTATTTATGAATTAAATCTCAAGAAAATTCATGTAATAAAATCAAAAACATTGTTTTAACTCTTTACTTGGTAAGTTTCTATTTAAGATTGTTTTATCATTCAAAGAAAAAGATTGAATTAATTTTCAATCTCTTGAGTTAGTCTTTTATTTTCTTCTAAAATGTCAATAGAATTTGATTTTGATTTAACTTAAGTATTTAATATGAAGTTTTAAACTTTATCTCTTCAAACTTGTTTTTTTTTTTACTTTTTCACTTTCTATTGCAAAATTTTTATCTTTCATGGCTTGTTATGTTCTACATAACTCTACAATTGCTTATTTCAACTTTTTATATCAATCATGAAAGCGTTGAAGACATCATTTATGTGTAATCATGACTATTGAATCTCTCAAGAATGTATCTTAAAAGATAAAATTGATCGTATAAAAGCTCAATAATATTATTCTTCCTAATTTTTGACAAAAAATATCTCCACACTTTTTTTGGATAAATTTCTATATGTGTTAAATCAATTTTGATGTATGATTCACAATTCATATCCGTCAAACATTCAATATAGATTGTAGATAACACAATTCCAAATCTTTTCATAACTTAGCGTTGGAAGTAACAATGACACTCTCTACTTCATCACTATAGTCATAAAACTTTAATATCAATATGCTAAAAATACTGCCAAAATTGAGGTTTTTCCATAAAACAAATGGATATTAAATAATCTGAAGATTGGTGATTGCAGTGTTTGATTTTTTCAATGTATCTCCATGTATGCAATATCACAAGTAAATATATTTTACTCTCTGGACATCTAGATGAATGAACTCTTTGAACCATTTTATATTTTAGTAATTTAAATGCAATCATCACATTTTTGCAATTTTATGAAAAATAATTCACATAGAAAGAAAAAGTAAAATAACTCCGATAACATTGTAACACTATAAAATAAAAAATTAGCTCAATTGAAGATAAAACACAACTTTAAAGATGTAAGATATCTAGAATGATTATTTCGTCATATAGATCTCAACAACAAGTGAAAGAAAATAAGATCGTATCCCCATTCATCCAATCCTAATGGATTGATTACATGACGGATTAAACTACCAAACACACGGATTGTTGATTTGATTATTACAGATAATTTTTATAATTTATTTATTTTTCCATTTTGAATTATTTTTACTTTAATTTTAATAATTAAAGATGATTACAGATAAATTTTTATCTTTCTAATTGATTAGCTTTTAATCTAAAACTAAGTACATATAATTGTTTAGGTTTACTAACATCGCTATTATCCCTGCATTTTATCAAACCATGACTATATCTAAGTTATATATCAAAAAATTGCAAAGATTTCATAAATTAAATTAAATTCTTACTTACTTGAATCTAGTATGTAAGAACTTGGACTTGATAGCATAGGTAGGATATGCAGTTTTGCACTTAAACATATGAGCATTCTAGCTCACAAGATGCTCTTTAATACATAAAGGTAAAAAGTGGTGCCGAGGTATATTTAGCATGATGCTCTTTAAAAAGTAAAGGAAAAAGTGTTCCCGAGGTACTTAGCATCATGCTACATAGAGTGATAACCATAAACCCTGGTATGGTAGGCTTTATTGCACTATCATGAGCTTATGAATGTCAAGGGAAGTTTCCTCGGAGATTATATCAACTTCTAACATTCAAAGTATCATGATCAGATTTACCTCACAGCCAACCAGCATCATCTATTATCTTCTATCATTTATGCCCTTCGATGCACACATATGTGAGTAATCAGGTCCATGTTCACAAGGGTACAAGGAAGTAAATTTCTGCAACATGGAAGCGAATTTCTTTAGCCCTGCATGCTTTCATCGAGTGGCCATTGGTCAGATTCTCTGAGAGGGCAATAAGCATGGCGTAAAATGCCTCACGACAGCATTCAACACTGGACTTGCTCTTGACCAGCTGACTCTGCTGCGTGCTGGGGACACAGGGGCTTACAGGGGTGGTTAGCATGATGATGACTCACTCACTCGACTGTATACATTCCCTTCATACGATTACAACAAAAGCAGACGTTGAAGTATTTTAGCAGAGGTGCTTGGAGACTGCGACTGCGACTGCTGGTCAAGGATCTCGGACCCAAGTAGCCCAAGCCCGAGCCCCGTCCGGAAAGAAGAGAGTCCTGAATATGAATGCTAACCCCAAGCCCAAGCCCCGTCCGGAACGAAGAGAGTCCTGAATATGAATGCTAACCCCAAGCCCAAGCCCCGTCCGGAACGAAGAGAGTCCTGAATATGAATGCTAACCCCAAGCCCAAGCCCCGTCCGGAACGAAGAGAGTCCTGAATATGAATGCCCGAGCCCCGTCCGGAAAGAAGAGAGTCCTGAATATGAATGCTAACCCCAAGCCCAAGCCCCGTCCGGAACGAAGAGTGTCCTGAATATGAATGCTAAGACTTCGATTCCGAATTTTTTACTGTCCTCGGGTAGCGCTGTGGAAGCAAAGTCTCGCGGCCGTATCAGAAATTAATCTTCATCTTCTTCCAGTGGTCGACGAGATGGCTCGATGGCGCCTCTCGTTGTCTGATTCGATAGTCCCCTCGTTGTTGATTCTGTGATCCGTAATCTTCAATTGTTGGTCCCGTACACGCATGCAGTACAAAAAGGTGTCAAGGAAAGGACTCGAGGACGAACACGATGATCGACGACGACGACGACACCATCTGAAAAAATCTGGAGCTTTCTTTGCCTCGTGCTTGTGATTGTGCTCGAGCAGCCGCTAATGGGGACCTAGGCGGGCCTAGGGCAACGACTGAATCTTGAATGAGCTGCCACTACTTGCTCATAATCCCTACTCTTTCGTAGCTCTCATTCCATGTGCAGAATGGTATCTTCTGCGACAGCCCTGGCCCTCGCCGTCCTGTGCAATGCGTTCGTTGCTTTGATTCGTGCCCTTCCGCTGAAAGTCGAACGGAGTATCCTCTTCCTTTCGAACAATAATCGGATTTTGGCTCGGTGAAGTTTGGACCTAATGGCACCGATATTTCTCGTCGTGAGAAAGTTTTCGACAGCGGCAAGCCGTCGGGCACAATTCGGCCATGACATGACGGTAATTCCTCCTGAGTGAAGGCAATGGATGGCAAAGGAGATAGAATGAGAGCAGTAGAGAGCTCGGCAAACACGATAATCGAACCCTGAAGAGATTGAACGCAGGACAGCACCATTGTTAAGTTGACGAGGTTTACTGTGCAACATAGATTCAGACACACAGGTGGGGTTCACGACTAGCACAGCAAATGAAATTCTTAGGGAAGGAGAGGAAAAGCAGCAGCAGCAGCAGCAGCGGGAGAAGATACGAAGGGATATGCGCTCGATTCGAAGAAGTTGCGGCACAAGATGCAAATCGAAATCTGGTCGAGTAGGTCAAAGAAAGGAAGACTTAAACGTCATGGATAGAGAGGGAATCTGAGTCTTTCTCCCTCTCCTACTTCAAAGGGATCAAAGAAACTCTTGTCAATCGTCTCGAGGTCATCATTTCACATCGCTGGTCTCGGTTTGGTGCTAACGAGATCCGGGTGCATGCAAGTGAGGCGCGTGTCTCTTCAAGAGCGAAGGAGGAGAACTTTTCCATCCGATCTCTATCGAGCTTCGTTGAGCTGGAGGGAGGGGCTGAACCCGATCCCCAATCCAAAAAGCAGCAGGCGCAAACGAGTTCCAGCCAAGCCCGGCCTATGGTAAGAAATGTGGACCCGTGGTCAAATCGATCGACTCTGGAGACAAAATGCCCGCCCACAAGAGGAAGCCGCAGCAGGACTTTCGCACACGCAGCAAGCCCCATGAAGAAAGATGTGAAGAATGTTCCAAATCGACGACTTTCTTTGCTACCCAGAACACGAGAAAGAACAGGCTCCGTCGGGAGCTGCAGCCCCCAAGCTCCCAGACCTTCACTTCCCATGTGCTCTGAGTGCTTATAGCGGTCTCCCCGGGGGCAGCAATCTTGCTACAAGAACACAGTCGAAAGGGCTTACCTGATGCAGGGGCTTCCAATGAGATTACTGTTTGTGCATCTAGTGCCATGTCCAGAAACGAAATTGGTGCAAACGCTAGACATGCCAAAGATTCTTGGACTGAAGCACATGAGCATCTGATCTAATCCACGTCCAACCAGAAAAGCTGGTCAATTACGCGCCTCGTGCAAATCTGAGGACTCAGAATAATGAGCTCGGGCGTTTCTCTCTCCATCCCTAGCAGCTCAAATCCCCGACTCCAGTATCAATAGTCGCGCCTTTCGAGACAGAAACGAGGACGGTGCATACTGGAAAAGGCGAATTTCGTTGGGGAATGTACAGAATCAACGGAGCTAAGGTCAGTTTCGATGCATCGTGCGTGCATGGCTGAGTTAGAGAACTCAAAGCCCTCATCAGGCAACCCTTTCCCACCATGTTCTTGTAGCAACATTGTTCCCCCCGGGATAGCGCTGTGTGGCAGACTTGCCTCTCTAGGCCGATTCGAGTGGTCATTGTGTTACTGTCACGGACTCTCGGCCCTCTTCAAGAGAGCTGCGAGTTCACTGTGCTTATCAGAGAGACAAGCCACTGTTTTAAACATCAGATCGCAATTTAAAGACACCGTGGAGAATAAAATCGAACTTGTACAAGATTTAATGGAGCAATAATAATAATAATATCTGATCTTCCGTTTCAAGGAAGGACTTATAACCCCAGGTTACAAGCTCCCCTTGAAGATCATAATTGCGCCCCTTTCGCTCACTGCAGTAGATCCCAAGCTACATTCATTGGTTCTCCTTTCAGTTCCTCGTCTGAGAAGTTTGTCTTAGAATTGTCTCAGCATGATTTTCTGCTGCAATACAAACATCACGTCTGCATAGTGGAAACACACAAAAATCGGCGTGATATATATTCAGATTTATACGGTGTTGTATTCCATATTGGCTAAATTAGGCGTCTTTGGAGGAATTAGATGAGAAAGAAGTGCCATTTGTGGCACAAGGAGGAAAAGCCCATCAAACATTTCATGCCGGCCAGAAGCTAAGAGAAGTTTGTGGTGATGAGAACTTTGCCTGTTAGTTCGACCTCGTGGCGAAAGGTGAAGGATGTCTGGAATTCCTTGGACGTTTGTTGGTTTCTGCCTTGCAACAATATGCTATAAAATTGCACCGATCAATAAGAGAAAGTTGTCATCTGACCACGTTGGCATGCTCTCAAATTTCAGCAAGGATCCAAGCAATAGTACATGGTAAGTGCGACCGGCGAAGAAGAATATCGTAGTGATTAAGAACCCATGTTCAACCAGTCTGAAAAGAAGATTTTCCGTGATACTTATTCGAACATCTGAATCACTGGAGGCTTCTAGTTCACGCCTTAAGTTCCAGCTTTCAACATCTACATTTGACTCTATTTGTACGAAAGACCAGTGTAGAGATTAGTTTGGTACTCTGATAACAGAAATGTGGAAGATTCGGAGTAGGCTTCTCGTCCATTATATACCTCAAAGCGACCGTGTATTTATGATGATACGATGTTAGTTGCATTATCATTTCAAGCTTGCACGATTTTGGTACATAATTTCATTTTGTGCATTTGACATCGGAACAAGCGCTCATATCTCAAATCGTTCGGTATGATCTCTCTGTTGTTCTTGATCTTCTTGGTTATTGATCTTCTTGTTTCCAGATAAGATTTAAAAATATTTTCCTGAGTGATGCACGTTTGGTTTTGGTCGTATAATATATTACTTGGATTTGGATCTGTTATTACATAATTGGTACTATCTAACAATGTGCTCATTATTAGATCAAAGGAAAAAAAGTTCCTTTTCATAGATTTCGTCGCGTGAAAAAAAAATGTAGACAGTTTACGAACACTTTAAAGTGGATTATCACATCTCTTTTCCAAATTATGTTTTATAATTTTACCTTCTGATATCCATCAATGCTTTTCGAAAGTCATAATCACAACGAAACAACGTACTTTTGTTGAACTCATGAGCGAAGGATTTCTAGAAACGTGACCACCTTGGAGTTACTACAGAGTGGTGAATCTTCTTCTAAGCTCGAGGCTTGTTTCCTCTTTCTGCTCATTCTGCTAGTTGGAATTAATTTTTTCGAACGACCCCTTTTCTTCCCATTTACCCTTTTTTTTAATAAATTTTTGTCATTTGATTTAGTAATTTGTTATTTCTAATAAACAATGCAATAAATATTCATAACTTTCTAAATTTTCTGTATGAATAAAAGAACCATTTGAAGGAAATTTCCAGGGTCCTTTGAAGCATCATTCCCAAGGAACTCCGATGGCTCAAGAAACATCCCCACGCGAATTGCATGACGTAGAAACTAGGACTTGTATGCTCCATAAGTGACACCGCTGGAAAACGGGGAATGTCACTCACAGAAGGAAGCAAGACAGACAGAGTGCCGTTGCAAGCTGGAGCGGTGAGCTCGTCGTGGCGAAGACGACGAACTTTCACCGGACGGACGGGCTATGGCCGAGCGACGAAACCGGCAGCTGCCACCCCGGGGTGCGAGGCACCAGTAGAATGGTCACGGGGGCTCGGGGAGGGGGCCGATCGTCGGATGGAAGGAAGATGCTCCATGTTGACCACCGCCTCAGACGACGACTGCGAGAAGTGGGCGAGCGAGCTCCTCGGAAAGACGAGAGCACGCAGCTCGGCCTCCTCGTCCTCGAGACACTGGGAAACATTGCGACTTCTTCATTTCTTCTGCTTCTTCTTCTTCCTCTTGTGCAGCAACGGAGGATACGACTCTGGTCGAAGTGAAGGCTCTCCTTTGACCGTCACCGGTCTTAAATGCGCGGACTCGTTCATTCATTTCCCTTCCTCCTCCTCCTTTCGTCCTGCTTTCCCTTCGAGGCCCGTCTCCGTGTCTGACGGATCGGACCCGATCGATTCTCTGCACTTAACTTCACTTCTCTCTCCTTCTTCATGTCGTGAAATGTCTTCTTCTCTCCACGGACAACCGTACTTCTGGACGTGGGCTTGCATCTGATGATTCTCAAGGTGCCGGGTACATGTCCTTCCTCCTCTCTCGGTCGATCAGAAGTCATGGATCTCAGTTCTCCCGAAAGAAAAAAGTGGTTGAATTTGAAACCGCCAAGAAGGAATTCTTCGATCTCTGAACGCACTCCGATCTCCAATCGAGAGTTTCAAGTGCTTAGGGCTTAGGCTTGGGCTTGGGCTTGGGCTTAGGCTTTACATGCTCAGGTGAAAAGGGCAGTCAGTTCTGTCCAGATTCTTGATCGAGTCAACAAACGAAGAATGAAGACTACCAAAAGTGCGATGGGTCGACTCTCTCTACAGGTGCCTTCCTGTCTATCCAGAAGAGCTGGGCAGATTATTCTTCACCTGTTCTGAGGGTGTCATGATGTAGAGCTTTTCACACGTTTAATCTGTTGACCTCAAACAAAGCTACGTGTGTAAACTTGAGACTGCCATGATCCGATGACGCACAAAGGGCAGGCACCGTCAAACTAAAGAAACAAACAAGGGAAGAATGAATGAATGAATGGATTAACTCATTAATTAATCAATTAATTAATGGAGGAATTTATGAGGACAGTACCCATACCCTTCTCTCGACAGTTTGAATGGTGGGGGGCTTAGGGTTTGGGCAGAGCATCGATGAACAGCGATGTAGAAAGGCTTACAGGAGAAAGAAGGCAGCAATGGCAAACATAATGAACGCTTGTTCTGCTCATAAATCAAAAGATACTGAAGCACGTCTGATGCAGACTCGAGGTTTCTTTCTCTTCTCCCTAAGCCCCTCCCCCAAGCCCCCGTCCGGATGAGGCGAGGACGCGGAGGACTCACGCTGCTGGCGGGTGGTAAGGACACGCTCAGGCCCTGGCGCTTCTGGGGGGCTGGTTGGGGCTGGGGCTGGGGCTGGGAAGAAGGGGGAGATCTATTATCCTCTCTCTCTCTCTCTCTCTTTCTCTCCTTGGGGAATGAAGGAGAACAGAAATTGACTTCACAGGCAGAACATCACGGAGCTTCAGAGGACCGCAATTTGGCCACTGGAATTTGAGTGCGTCGACGAAAGAAGAGCAGCAGCAGCAGCAGGTGAGAAGAACTGTCGAATGTGGTGGAGAACGGCACCGGCTGACGGAGCTTCGAGGACCGGGGATCATGTGGAGTCAGAGGTCCAATGAGATAAATTTGGACGATGGGGGCTACACTTGTAGACTGTGAAGTCAAGTGAGGGACGAGAAGGCGAGCACGAGTTTCGCTTGCGGAAGGAGACAATCTCAGTGGGGCGGCGACTGGGGCCGGACTTATCAGGTTGTCACACGTGAGCGGCCACATCACTCGATCACGAATCTTGCCTGGAGCTAAGAGCATTGCCGTTCGGCATGCGAGCTTCGGATCCCCCCTCGACTCGACCCAAGTCAACCTCGGGGCTTCACCTCCCAAGCCCTCGCCTCGTCTCCGGTTGGGGTCATGGGGTGGGGGGAGCGCTTTTCCATCGTCGGCCGCTTGTGTGCCGTAGCATCTCATCTCCTGCGTGCTTGCTTCCATGCCCACCCTTGCCCTGTTTTGGACTGGGACGAACATGATGGGCCTTCCGGCAGCTGGTGCCAATTTGGCGACGAGTGCAGCAGCAGCAGCGTGCCGCGTGCATGGAACGAGAGAAGAGTGGTAACAGCGGACGAGGGAGGGGTGGGAGGGGAGGGATGGAAGGAGGGAGGGAGGGGGCGAAATCATCTGCGACTGAGCAAAGTGGGCCGCCATTATCCGGCACAGTCCCACGTCCCGAATTACGGGGCTCATTAGTGCTAAGGACGTGCGCCGGGAGGAATCCCCCGCAGGCCAGAAAGCGCAAGCCCTCAAACAGAATGAAACAACAGGAACAACAAAAGCAATCTCTTGCCCCTCGGGGGCTCTTTCCGCAAATACCCACCGCTGCCAGCACGGTTTCACTCCCCCTCCCCGGGACCTTGCCCCGCCTGTACCGGTGAAAGTAACCGCATCCGTAACCACACCACCGTAACCCCTCGTCCCCGCCCAACCGCTCGCGCTGCAGCCCCGCGACCGTGCGCAGATAGATCGTCGAGCGTACGGTCGTCGGGTGGGAAATCAGCCCGTTCCCGGTGACGCCATCGCCTTAGGCTCGAACCGAACAGGAGTCGACCGATGCCGCAGTCGGTTACAGGCATCGTAGAGTGACATCGTACAAGAGAGTTGACCTGTTGATACGGCCCACTGACTCGACTATGGTCACCGATATCTGACCGCGTGGCTAACTCAATCTAACTCACTGGCTATGGAGTCCGGAGTGCGCTTAGAGGGCAGTAATGTCCCATCTGCAGGATCGGTGCCGGATCCGGCGAGCGTACTGTATCCATGAACCGTATCAGGAAAGGAAGTAAATACAGAGAGTAAAAGATTTTTTATTTTGTTGGTTTTGTCTGTAGTGGGCTATAGCATGGCCCGTCCGGCTGCTCGGGTGGTGGAGGAGGAGGGCAGAACCGACTGGGAGATGAAGATTCCGGCGAGTGCGGGGAAGCGGAACATTTTAGCCCCGTCGGGGCCAGGCTAGGCCCGGGCTCGCGCACGTCTGTGCTTATTTGGCATCATCGCTGCGGAGGCATGGACCGCAGAGCGGGGGCCTGTCTCGCGATGGCAACCCCGGGGCTCACGATGTGCATCATCGGGCGTGCAAGTCGCGGTGGTCGCGCGACGACAACGGTGGCGCCGAGCAAGACGACGTCGCCCCGTCGCTTGCTCGCTTCTGTGGGAGGAGCTTGATTGCCTCGAATCCTGTTGCGCGCCTCGACACTGGACGGGACGGGCAGCGCGGTCAGGTGGTGGGGGCACCACCCGGACGCCGGGGGCTACGTCGTAACCCAACCCCTACCCCGACCCCGACCCCAACCCCTCTCCGAGCACGAGACACATCGCGAGCGGAAAGAGAGAGAAAGAGAGCGAATTTGTGTCTTTAACAGAGGGGCTTGCTAGAGTTAACCCAGCAGGACAGTTAACCGAGCACGAAAGCACCCGAGATACCGGTTGCTGCCTCTGGTTTCCCGTGGGGCTGGGCTAGGGTAGTGCCAGGAGATTCATAATTTAATACGGGCCAGGCTCGGACCGGGGCTTGGTTTAATACGGGGCTAAGCTCGGGTGGCTGCTCCACCTCGAGCACTGGGCTTGGCCCGACTTACGTGGCTGGCCTCGGGCTTGGGAGTGGGCTTGGGGGTGGGCTTACGTTTCCGAAACCCCTTCCCGTGCTCATGACTGGTGCTGTTCATGCTTCGGAGCGTCTGCTCTCGAGCTCTCAATATCCGTCCCCTGGCGACGAGGCCCAGAAAAGAACTTTTTGGACGACATGAAAGTTGGAGTACCTCCAGCTCCGTCCAATGTTATGCTAGCCCGCTGCCCCCTCCCTCCCCTCCCCTCCTCGTCCCCGTCCCCGTCCCGCAGGCTCAAAGACGAGCTCCGCTCGCCAAAGGAGAGAAGAAGAAGCACCTGCTGCTCTTGTGAACAAGTAGCTGTTGTAGTAGTTGTACTCTCGTAGTACTTGTGGCAGAAGCACCCCCCTCCCCCGCACATAGAGAGAGAGAGAGAGAGAGAGGGAGAAGGAGAGAGCGCGCGCGCATGCACCATCCATATCCATATAAGAGGGATAGCGAGATGCACTGATAGCTTGCTGGCACGCCCGACGTCGTGGTCGTCCACCTTCCTTCATTCCTTCCTTCCTTCCTTCCTCCCTCCCTTCCTGCCTCCTTTAGCCTTCATCTCCTTCCCCTTTCCCCTTCCCCTTCTCGTCCCCTCTCCAGTTGCACCTTCCACAGCCCCGGCTCGCCGTCTGACACGTTTCCGCCTCGGGCGAGCGAGTGCCTTCTTCACGAAATCCACGCCTCGCGCAATCTATCTAATTTCCTCGTGCGAGAGAGAGAGAGAGAGAGAGAGAGAGAGAGAGCTCGAGTCGCTGACGCTGACGATTCTCAGGTACTTGCTTTCTCGAATGCGCGCTTGAGTGAGTGCGCATGCATTTTGCTCTTGCTCTAGACGCCCGACAGTGTTGTTAGAACCGTTGGTTTCTGCGGCCAGAGCTGCTTGCCGCGGCTCTCGGGCTCGGGCTCGCGCTTGGGCTTGGGCTTGGGGCTGGGCTTGGGCTTCGCCTGCCCCCTCCTCCCCTTCCGTCTGTGCGTGTGCCGTTGCGTGGCGGACGTTGTCAGCGCTTCCGGCGCAAACCAATTGAGATCGCTCCGAGGTCGAGGGCCAGGTCGAGGGCGAGGCGAGCAGCCAGGAGCTCGTGCGTCGATCGATTGGTTTTTTTGCGGATTTGCTCTCGCCGGGCGCATCGTATTCCGTCCTGCATGCACACTCGGATCTTGTGTCGAACGCCCGGTGCTTCGCTGCCCGCCTTCCTTCTCGCCTCGGGCGCTTGGCCCCGGGAGCCGACGGAGGACGGAGTGCAGAGGCAGAGGGGCTGTCGGGCTGCCGATGCGCGATGCGCGATGCATTCTCATGGACTAGAATTGCGTTCCGCAGGCCGGGAGCCGTCGAAGAGTAGTCTCGTGTGCTGTGATGCGGTGGTTTGAAGCTCGTAACTTACTCGTTGTGGGTATTAATTTGCACTGCAGGAAAAATCTCTCGATCGGATTGCAATTTGGATGGTTTGCTGCCCCATTTGCGCTCAGGCTGGAAGCGGATCAACCCTAATCCCGAGCAGATGCATGTCGGAATTTTAGAGATCCGTGGAGCGCTAGCGTGGGTTTCGCGTCCGAACGCGTGGATGGTTTTGCCATCGCCCTGGGAGTGATGTTGGCACTGCTCTGGAAGTCTGCCCGCGGGGATCAAGGGTGTCAGGCACGACGGCAATGACACGGATGATGATGATGATGATGACGACGATGATGAAGAGCAGCGAATGCGCGATGTTCTCAATTGCGGCATGGCTGACGGCGAACTCATCGTAACCTGTTTCTGAGTTGATCGGAAGCCGAAGTGTGGCACACTTCGATCCTCGTCCTCCGCGAGCATCGCCTTTTTGATTCTCGGGCTCGGACATTTGATTAATTGTCCGCGAAGACTGGCAGGCTGAAGGTTTTTTGTAGATGGGATGAAGAAATTATTTCAGATTCCAATCGGATTTGCATCAATGGAGAGGAAATGGCTGTTGCCCCTCGTAGCGAGTTCTTTAGTATCGATAACTTTATTTTTGGCCGCGACATTAAGTCTCGGAGCATCCTCCCACAGAGCACGAGTGTGGACGTTTTTGACCGATAGCGATGCTTCGCGAGTCACGTATGTGGAAGACTACTTAGTGCAACCGCCGCCGTCCGGAATGCCGGCACCGCCGAGGCTGGGCTACGTCATTTCGGGAACCAAGGGCGATGGGGCTCGGATGAAGCGAGTGCTGCAAGCCCTGTACCATCCGAGAAATCACTACGTCCTGCACCTCGATCTCGAGGCTTCCCCCAGAGAGAGGGTGGAATTGGCCAGATCCATCAGGCTCGATCCCACATTTTTGGAGGTTGGAAATGTACATGTGGTGGGCAAGGCAAATCTGGTCACCTACAGAGGCCCCACCATGGTCGCCGCCACCCTGCACGCCGCAGCAATCTTGATCAAGCAGAAGGCAGACTTCGATTGGTTCATCAACCTCAGTGCTTCAGATTACCCGCTCGTCACGCAAGACGGTAAGCGTCCCCCTTCTCCTTTTTCCGCCCCATTCGAATTCTTAATTTCTTACTTCTCTTCTGAATCGAAATGGCCACTGCTCGATCGAGCTCAGCACGCATTGCGGACGGGGCACAGGCCCTATAATCGAGCGTGATTTGCAAGCAAGCACGAACTTAGTATAAGATCGCAAAGTGCTGGTAAATCAGTCAACCCCGTTCACTTGGAGCTTCGTTCTCGAGAGAAATGGGAAATTGGTCGTTGCCGCAGGATGGGTTGTAGTCGTGTCTCATCACTGCGGACTTTGGGAGTTGTTTACCCGAGCATCTTGATCCATGGGAATCATCACTTCCAGAGGCTAGGCAGTTTTGGAGGCTTGGAAGTCAATGCTTCACGGTAGCCTGAGCTCATAGTTTCGACTTGCTTGCCCTCAGAGATGATTATGTGCTGCTCCCTGCTGGCAGCTAATGTAGAGAGAGAAGTACTACCTCGCCTGGAGAGCAGGTCGCAAGGCTGAGTCTTGCTTCCATCGGCTCCTATCGTCATCTAGTGGTTTGTGCTTGACACGCTGTGTCCTCCAGAAAATTGGGATCAGGGCAGAGGGCATTGTCACCAGCAGGAAAGTCAAACATGAGGTGAAGGATCGGTAGCTTTTTTATGCCGCGAGGATAGCTGTCGAGTGTGCAGAAAGTTTTCTAAACTACAGTGTAGGAGCCGAGATATAATTATGGAGCTATTGATTCGAACTCTCTCTCAGGATTCACCGTTGCATCAACTGGATCTGCCTGGGGTCTTTTCTGGATTGTAGGAGCATCGCAATCCCAGTTGGATTGCTGGTTCTTCAATTGTTTGTTCATAAGCTCAACACAAGTTTTGTAGGAATTCTCCACTTGTAGGTTATGATTGGAACAGAAATAGGAGGACCTCGGAAGGTAGTCCATGGGGAATCTGATCAGCTGTTGCGGCACCGAGAGAGATCAATCCGAAGGGATAGGATACAGGTAGAAGTTAGATCAGGAGATGGATGAATAACCTGAATCAGTCCAGAACTTTGTCGTTAAGCTCATGGCATCTCACCTGTGACGATCAGGTCGAATCTCTAGGAAGAAATCCCGTTCATCTGACCGAAAACTTGATTGAGATGCTATATAGGCTTTATTGCCCAGTGGGTAGATTTTCATGAAACTAAACTTAAGATTTAATCCTTCTGGGAATCTCTACGCTTATTCTCTATATTCTGTTTTGTTTCTTGTAACGTTTTGCTTAATCTGTACTTTCTTTGGTTGTTCCGAGCAGATCTTCTTCATGTGCTGTCATACTTACCGCGCGATCTCAATTTCATTGAGCACACCAGTGATATTGGTTGGAAGGAGTAAGTTCCATACGACACTGGATTACCTCGAGTGTAGTCGTCATTTTGCAATAAGTTATATTACGAGTCATATCGTTACATATGTTCATCCTTGTCATTTGTTGGTGAATACCCCCTGATGCGCGTATACTGTTACAGGTTTCAGAGAGCTAAGCCTATCATCGTAGATCCGGGGCTATACATGAACAAGAAAAGCGACATATTTTGGGCCACGCAAAGACGGCCTGTTCCCACAGCTTTTCGTCTCTTCACAGGTAGAGCTCTTGTCAACTGTGATGAACTGGTTAGCGTTTTGTGCCACTTCTGTTTTAGATGTGTAAGATTAGCAAGTTTGCTAAAATAACAAAACTCGCAATGCAGATGGTCAAACGACCTGAGTTCATCTGCTAAGAAATTTGTAGCCCAAGTTATGAAGATCTCACAGCCTCTGAGCTTATGCTTCGTTGATTGAACTCCGTAGGGGGAGAAAGTACATCTCAAGGCTTTCTCGTCTTTCGCCGAACCTGTTCAGGCTACCGCATTGAAAGATTTGTGGAATCGTACTAACTGGAACGGTTGTTGTGCGTCTGACCAGGTTCTGCTTGGTTTGCTTTGACACGAGCATTCATGGAGTACACCATCATTGGGTGGGATAATCTACCTCGGATAATGCTCATGTACTATACGAATTTTGTGTCATCACCAGAAGGTTACTTTCACACTTTAATTTGCAACGCCCCCGAGTTTCGAAACACCACAGTCAATCACGACTTGCACTACATTGCGTGGGACAACCCTCCCAAGCAACATCCGCTGTCCCTCACAGTGAACCAGATCGACAACATGACCACGAGTGGAGCGGCTTTCGCTCGGAAGTTTGGCAGGGATGAGCCGGTGCTGGACAAGATAGACCAGGAGTACCTAGGACGAGGACCAGATAGATTCACTCCAGGTGGCTGGTGCCTGGGTACTACGGAAGGTGGGCAAGACCCGTGTGCGATCAGGGGTGATGTCAACGTCTTAAAACCAGGCCCTGGGGCCAAGAGATTCGAGTCTCTGATTTTGAAGCTGTTGTCTCCGAGCAGATTTCGCAAGAACCAATGTGCTTTATAGGCCTGTCAGATAATCCAGAACCCTTCACCTGGTTCGCTCTTTACGTCCTGGAAAAAATCTGGGTGACCATTCGATGTGAAATACCGTCTGTCCGTTTAGATTCTTCACGATTATGTAAAGCTCTACTGAGAGTGCTTGGTCAACCAGGGCAGTCATTGCCAAATTACATGTCTTCTCATCTAGTCTTCTAGAGGTCTTCAGAGAAGCTTAATCAGTTTATTTCAGTGCAGTTCCGGCCTTCACACTACACCTCATCTCTATTGTTGTACGCTCGTATCTAGCTATCAGCTCCATCCATTGAAAGTCAAAATAAAGATGAACCGAATAAGCTTGAAAGCAAGCTATTTGATTTTGATCTGAATTGGGAAAACTGCCTGCACGTTAGGTCCGGGTGGTCGCTCCTGATGGAACACAGTAGCCGGTGGACTCGCAAAGGAAAGGAAGCCGATTGGCTACAGGTTCTTGGCGGAGGGGACGTTCCGTCTCGTCTGTGAGAGTCCCTGGATGGCGATGTAATTATATTTTCTCTTCAGAGCCAAAGCAGTTTATTCTAATTTATCTTCAATGGCGCATCGGCACGCTCACGCTCTCTGCTTTGCTTTGCTTTGCTTTCCTTGTCTCCTTCCCCTTCCTCTCACCTTACCTCTTGAATGCAATAATGCGCAGCCCTCGGTCGAAAAGTGGACCATTCCCTCCCCGGTCGGTCCCTGGGCATGTTCCGGGCTTTCAGTCGGAATGTCGGATGTTCATTCCCTTCATTCAAGCCTCGCCAGAGAATATCACCCAAATCTCAAGACTCTTGGGCTTATTCGAGGGCCCTCAATGATTAGTTCTGTGCCCCATTCACTCACACATCCAGTGTCGAAACTGTAATCTGGCAGCACGTTTTTATAGCCATCGAGAATATCACTCAAATCTCAAGACTCTGGGGCTTGTTCAAGGGCCCTTAATGATTAGTTCTGCGCCATTTATACGCACCATTTTTATCCAGCGTCGAGACTGTAATCTGGCAGCGCGAAATTATCCATCGGAGCACGGAGGAGTCTCTCGTCTCACTCACGCTCGAGAATAAAGCTCGGCCGAGTCCAGATTTCACGGTGCTCCGGCAATCAGATGAATCCGGTGCTGCGGGTGCGTGCTCCGTCCGAGTCCATGGAGTTACTCGAAGACACAGGTCGATCGAGCTCAGATTACTGGGAACGGAAGAGCTTGATGCCCGGACGGACGTCTGGCGGGTATTAGAGGCCGGAACGTCACGGAGCGTCGTCAGCTGGGAGAGGCCTAGCCCACAACATTATTGTAGGAGACGCGCAACGGGCGATCTGGCCTGGCCCCTCTCTAGGCTGGCCCCTGCCGATAACTGAGGGCGGGGAAAGATTGACGGCAGCGCAAGTCATGCCAGCCCAGTGAGCGCCTCGAGAGATTCGACGGTACTGACTGATCCGCCGGGACTCTCGAAAGCCCGCAGCAGTACCATCTTCATTTCCTTCCACGTGAAAAGGTGCAGGATCGTACGGGTCCTGCTCATCCTTCTTTTCTCATTTGCATGGTAGGCTTAGATCCCCACCTCTGATTCTCACTCGGTCGCTCGCTCGCTCGCTCGGGCTCAATTAATGTCTTCTACCCTCTGAATCTTCAGCCCTGCTTTGCTTCCGTCTGCTGTAGCGCGTGGATGTTTGAGCTGGATGTAGGCCAGCAGACATCACATCACAGGTGCCACTGGACTGCAGTAACTGCGTGGCCACGACAAGAGAGCCTCGACAGAAACCTGTCGATGTCGCAGTCGGCAAGAGGAGGCTGCAGCCCACCGTCTTGTACACGAATAGTCCAGAGTTTTGACAAAAGCCGTCGACCTCGTGGATCTCCAAGTCGTGTTCAGTACAGGCACGAAGGTCGTCGACGATATAGCCTACGACAACACCCTGGCGACAGAGCTACAGCTGAACCCATCGGAGGAGCCCACGACCTCCCATACGACCGATTTGCTGCTCGAGATTTGATGGTAGACTTTCCAGAGACCATGGATGGAGCCAGGTGTGTATATATGAAGGGAACCCAGCAGTCGTGTCTGTGAGCTCAGCTAACTAAAGAGCCATTGAACCCTCTTTCATCCGAGGTTGCAGATGGGCTAATATTCGTCGTCATTTGGGGTCCTTTTGGACCCGAGAAACCTGACTAGCCAAGGATCAGAAATTGGATCTAACTTAAGATCCAGTCATCGGACCTAGAAGTGCAACTGAGACTCGAGACCATGAGGTTGAACCCAAGATATATTTGGACTTAAGAGCCGGACCCAAATCTAGAAGTTCATCATGGAAAGTTGGGTCGCTAAAGAGCAAATCCATGTCGAGGACTTTCTGGACTGTGAAGAGGGTCATTGGTGCGCCGAGTCACCAATGACTTGATCATCAAGGGATTATGAGAGAACCACAATGAGTGTGAATTGGCAGTAAACAGCCTGAAGTTGATTGCAATAAAACATTTGGAAAGGCATGGTTCTATTCCAAAAAGGTTTTGAAAAGGTGAGGATCATATCTATGCCTTGTATTTCAGGAAGAAAGATGTCACGCTGGTTGAAAGCTCAGCCAGTGGAAATGCGTGAATGAACAAAAGATGGGTACAACTTCAAAGTACTGATCTAGACTTTTGACTCTAGGAGCAGACCGTAAACCATGAGATCACATATTCTTTACCTTGATGACATCGCATCTGAGGTTTCCGCAGTGCTTGTGGACGTCTTGTCTCACCTGCGAAACTGGTGGGCCACAGGTGGAGATGGGGACGCAGTGCAGATCTCATACGGGAGCTTGTTCTAGCATTGAATTGTCTCGGCTTCTATATTTGAACTGGCACGCTGCCAAGCTTTGACCGAAACTGTGGTCTCTCTGTTTGATATCGTACCGGCGTCTGTGAACACCGGATGCGTCCATGTTCAATGATGCGATTCTCGGATGGCGTTGCCATCAAATGTCATTCACCGACAAATTTGCCACCGGATGCAGAGTGCTTGTTCTTGCCCTTGCACCAAAATATCACCACCTTGTAAAGCGCAAGACCATGACCTCCGAACTCATCCGCATATCACGCGAGTGCTGATAGGTGCAAGCAATTCTGGTGACCTTCAGGACACGCACGAGAGAATGAAGTGCTTTGACCCTGAGCTTATGTGATTTCTACTTTCTCTATTATCTTCATGATTCACGATTGCCACAATCTCGCAACAAAATCATACCTTTACGATATCGATTGAAATTAGAAGAATCAGAAAGTGACCCACAAACATATCATGTAGAAGTGTTGAAATAGCTTGCCTGTACAGAGTTGACTGGCTGTTATTGATTCAAAGCGTGCAGAATATATGTACCTCAAATAGTGGCTTGAATAACTACTGAGACTAAACTGTATGACCTGCCTGCGAGGACTTTGCCTTGAAAGACAGTACAATCTACAATATTGCACACTAGTGTACAATGATACATTTGGGATGTGATGCAACCGAGCGATGACATGGCGAAATGGTCGGGCAGTTGGAAGCAGAAGGCAGCCATGACGTTGAATTCTCGGTGCTGAGTCGCTAATGTACATTAATTCTAAGATATGATCCACTGTCAACCCAGTGCAGCATACAACTCGCGGCCTAGTTGGGTGACCCCATGACTTCCAAGTCCGGCTTTCGGTCAAGAGGACCAAACGTCCAATTACATCCACCTCCATCTAGTTTACTAATCTTCAGAATATTTGAATGGAACTGCTTGAGGGTAGTTCTGTGACCCACACTGATGTATGTTATGCCCGACTTCTTGATCTCGCCGTACAAAAGCATCTGCAATTTCAGAAAAAGGTGTAACTGACATTATTAGCCTCTCAGTTAAGCCTTCAAATGTTCTCTTATCGACAAAACAGAAACGTTGAAGATCTTAGCACAACCACAAGTCCAGGTGTGACAAATTAAAGCTTTTCTACCGAGAAGTGGGCCAGCTGCCTGTAGCTGACGTGCTCACAGACAAAAACATGACTCGACACACGGACTCTCTTCTCACGAAGTTGATCTTCGATAGGCTCGACTTCCACTAATTGTTTCGCACTTAAGCGAAAAGCCCAGTGGATGATCTGCGATTCAAGAAGAACAGATGCCGAAGACCTAGTGAGGAAAACTAAGAAGTCTAATCACAAGGACATTACGCACCTCGTTTTCTTCATCAAGAGCGCTAGTAGACTCGTCCATCAGTGCCAATCTCGGCTTGGAGATGAGAAGCCGCGCAAATGCCAATCGCTGTTGCTCTCCTAAAGAGAGAACGCTTGCCCATTCGACATTGGCGTCGAGTCCATCACAGCTACTCATTAAATGGCCCAGACTCACGCGCTCCAAAACATCTGTAAGCTCCTCATCACTGGGCTGGGGCTTCAAGCCCACCGGTGTCGCATCGGTGTAAGCACTGGAAGTGACAGGGCCTGCTTCAACGAGCATGGTTTACTGGTCAGCATGTGCAGCTCCATGTGATCATAGGTCAACTTCGACAAAAAGAGAAGGTCAAGACATCACGAGTGCTCAAGTCAGACAGGAACAAGAGACAAGCATTTTTGGGGCAAATGTTGGCAATTAATAGACCTTGGATTGTAACATGGGAACAGAGCGATTAGTCCAAGATTGCTTAGGAATGGCTCTCACCATTTGATTTCGGGCTCAGCGGTGAAGTAAAGCCTCGCTCGGTCCAGATTGGATACAATATTTGCTGTCGTAGAGTGCCCAGAACCATATACGGCCTTTGTGGTAAGAAGAAGATCTCTTGGCTGATGTCTAAGCTGGAGGAGGTTACGGCACCGTTGACAGCATGATTCGCTGTATCTCCTGGAATAGCTTCACTATTATCAGGTCTCGATACTCGATCCACGCCTTCGCTCTCTGATCTCAAAAACCGAGTAATAGTTCCCGTTCCAGCCGCCCACAGACCGGCTATGGCTCTCAAAAGGGAAGTTTTACCACTTCCACTTGCACCCATAATCTGTATAATAACAGTATGAATCAGAAAGTGTCTGATGCAGCAGATCACTAGTTTCAAATAGCAACTTCTAATATCACGGGTCTGCCAGATAATGCAATAATGTATTGACTGAGACGTTTCACAAGTGGTAACGAATGTCTCATGTTCTCCGTGGAAGATATGATCGAACATACCAGTAAATGTTCGCCTTGGTTAACAACTACAGACAAGTCTTCCACCAACTTAGAAGTGTACTGTGGTGTATTCAAAGTCAGGTGCTCCATCATCAAAAGCGGAACTTTGCGTGAGCTTTCATTCTGTCCATTGAGGACGGGCTGTATCGTTTCTCTACGATCTAAAATAGATATGCGTGGTCGAAGAGAGGAACCGCCTTCTGTTTGGCTGGATTCAATCGCTTCTGAAGCAGATCCTAGGTATGTGACAGGGCGTGACAATGTGTTCTGCTGATCCAAAATTTCGCTAAACTCACCTGCACAATATCAGTTCACGGAGAACATGAGCATACCACAAGTTGTCCACATTGCCTTACTTCCTCAAACAACTTCTCCAACAAGGTAGAGGAGTCGACTGAAAGTTACCTAGCCGATCGACAACAGCGGAGAAGGAGCTGATAGACTGGAACTGGTAGACGATGATTGAGAAGTCACTCAGTATGTGATTGAAGGCAGAGAATGACTGATTAATTACACCAAATTCTATTTTCCCAGCGAAGTAAAGAGGTGCAACCACAGCAGCGGGCAGCAGTTGAATGAGATATCGATATGCACTGGTGAAGAAGTCCAGATTCCTCGAAGCAATTAGAAGTTGCTGTACACAGACGAAATAAACGCTTGCTCATGAGTATGAGTTAGCCCAACAGCGCTAAATGTGGAGGAAGAACTCATTTGAGATAAGATTACTCGTGGATTCTAGTGGAATGACTCTCCATATACCCTAACGAATATTCAGAATTTGCATTTGACGTCGTTTCAAGCTCTGAAAGCAAGGTGTTTAGAAAGAATACTCACACTGTAGTTGGCAAAAGATTGATTGAATCTTTCAAGGAGCAAATTTATTTCACTGCTTTCTCCAGCATAGAATGCAATAGACTCGGCATTTTCTCGTACTCGCACCAGTCCATATCTAAAATCAGCTTCCCGTTTCTCTTGCATAAAATTTAAACCCACGAGTCCCTGTTTACAAGAACGATGGATGGTTAATTTGAATGTTTATCGCATCATGAGGGAACGCAATTCGAGATTGTTCAGATCTGGATCAAAATATTACCAAAGGCTAGTTCAGGACACTCCCACCGACATGGCCCCAACACAGCGCAAACACAAGGTACAGGAGTCCATACTTGCCTTCCCTAGAGCCACACTAAGAGCAGTTCCTCCAATTGAGTACACGATGAGGACACCAAAGAGTGGCGGATATATCCCATATAAAATTCCACTGAATGAAATGAGGTCAATGACGGCATTAAAAATAGCCAGTGCAAAGACGAGGGACGTTGTCGTGAAAGAATTCAAGTCATCAACTATTCGCTGATCTGGGTTGTCGATCAAAGATTGAGACTGAATGTTGTAAAACGTCCTATTCTCGAAGTAGCGAGCCATGTAATGTTGTGTTATCCATGCTCTCCACCGAAGCGCCAACGTGTCTCTACTATAATCCCTAATTACAAACACCTGCATCCATCAAATGGAAAAGATTCGGTTCATATGCTGCAGAAAGGGAATATTGTGCCGAATTCAGAAATCAAACTCTTGCTCCTGAGAGAAGAGTTGAGCTTTGCTATCATTTGTTCCTTTTGCCTGCAGGTAGGACAGTTGAGACCAAGCACATGTTTATCGACATCCTAGCACACGATTTATTTTATTGGTGTCTCCACAATTGTCCGATTCAACGATGTCCGTACCGGAATACCACCGACAAATGCTCCTAAGTAGTAGAGGAGCTGCTTCAAAAATTGCTCCTGGTCCTTGCCTAACATCCCACGAATAATGAACTCTCGATCAGTATCCAACAAACGGCAAACAAACAATTCAAACATTGTTTCTTCCTTCAAGAGCACCATGACCATCGTGTTTCACACTTGGAACACTGGTTCAGACCACGTATAACTTTCGAAGAATGTGAAAGGATCTATAAACTGCTGTCACGGTTGCAGAGAAATTCTTTAGAGCAGAAACTAGCTACAATCAGAAAGGACAGAGAATCAACAATTCAGAAACACACCACAGTTTGGAGGTCGAGATCAAAGAGTACCCACTTGAAAGAGCATTGTAGAAGTCTCTTCCAAGAAAATTAAATCCGACACTGATTCCTGTGGTGGCCAGAGTAAGTGCAAGCACTGTACCCAGGCGCCATCGGGCTTCGACCTTATCCTCTGAGCTCCAATACGGTAACGCAACTCTCCAAAATCTCTTAACAAGAGTATTGAAATCCGATCCGAGCCTCTGCAGGGAAAGAGAAAGACGGGTCAAACCCCATATTATACGTCTTAGACTCCTCAAAATTTAGCACTCCTCGAAATCACAGGTATGCGGTCTAAAAAAGACAGACTTAGCCAAACACTTCGCCAACAAGAAACATACGAAAAACGCTCGTTACAGAATGTGACAGGGGGTAATGATGATGAGTCAGTTTTTTTGCCGGCTCCCTACTTCTTAGGTTTCTCAGATAAAATTCATGGGCAAAGAACTCTGACACGATACACGATAGGTGGATAAGGATGAATGTGGCCATTGATTGAGTTCCATAATTGGCAGTGGAATACCGTGTTGAACACAACGATCACTTTGTGTGGAGCGCGTAAAACTAGATTCGAAACGAAGACCGAGTGTAATTTGATAATCGTACACGAAAGCACGGCCCTATGTTCAGAAGTCAAATTGTCAAGTTGATCGCCATGGTTGAATCATAATTGATTTTGACAGATTCTGACGAAATCAATTAGGGAGATTGGAGAACATGAGCTTGAAGGTATTGGATGCTTAGATTAACAGTGGATAGAAGTTGAATGCAAAACATTTTATTTAACGATGAAAGAACCAATTGAATTTTTTTTGTGCACAGGAACAGACAGGCTGCAGGCAAGCGAGTTTGAAAAAAATAAAAAAATTTACTACGCACCTGCTGTTCAGATGGAGGCTCAAAATCAGGGGTGCACTGATCCAGCCCATCTCTTTCATCCACTGCAGATTTAATAGCTACATTTCTCGGAGGCGCATTCAACTCCCGTTCAGAACTTTCAAGCGTCTCCAAACCATGAGACTTGCTGGAAAGCTTCCTGGGGGTTTTAGAAACCTGCTTCCAAAGCGCAAATGCAACCCCCTTCGCAATTCCATCTCCGGGCCTGGACTTGACCAACCGACCCCTCCTGGCGAAACCTCTGCTCCGCCACAGCCTGCGCTGCAAATCAGAATCAGGAAAATTCCTCCTCATTCCTCCTCCTCCTCCTGCGCCGGCCGCTCGCCATGGTGCGGGGGCCAGAGCACAGAGCCCGTAAGAAAGGCTCATGGCGCGAGAATTGTCTCGGTCGTCAGGCCCACGTCCCTGCCTCTGGCACCTCCCCGACCTCGAATGTTGTGGAACTCGGGACCTCACCTGGCGTGGCCTGCATGCTCGTTCATTGCAGCAAGCCGGCGTCGGGGCCGAGCGGACAATTGGGCAAATCCATGCTATCCCGCGGCCACGAACCTCGCAGCGACAATTGCTCCTGCTCTCCTCCTTCTTTGCGTCGTCCCGTCGCCTTCTTTGTCTGTGGATATGATTTTGGTTTCGTCTGCCCCTTTCCCATCACGTGTCCGCTTCCGGTCCGAGGTACGGAACACGCTCTGACATTTTCTTATTCTTATTAACATTTAAATAAAACTATTATTATCTTCATTCTCTTTACATTAAAATGATAGTTTAAATTTAATCGTTTATGAAAATTGGAAAGCTTTTCGCCGACTAATATTCTTTTATTTTAATAAAATCACCTTCATTCGAATTCTCCTATCATAAAAATAAGAAAAAAAGATTGGGATTGGCATAGCATGTGTTTGTTGGTATCAACCAAATTAGCTATAAATCTATATGTGCAGGTATTTGATCATCTCACATCCAATCATTTCCAAAGTTTGAATTGTATGTAAGATTATGTGAGATGTATATCTATGTATTGATAAAATTTTATATTGTATTTTACTTCGTAAATGTATTTCTCATTTGATTATTTTCAAAAAAAATAAAAATTCAACCAATTTTCTTACATCAAAACAATTCTTAAAAATCTGTCAATTTCAAGATTTCAGTGTGATAATGTGAAGCTTTTTAGGAAAGAATAATAGGAATAATAAGAATTTTCAAATTATAACAATAAACATACTGACACATAAATATATTTATTTATTATAATTATGTATCATTTTTTTTACATAAATTTTGTAACGACTGTGTATTTTCCAGAACTTATTATTTTCAAAATTCCATTGAATTTTTGCTTTAACCATTCATTAGATGAAACTATAAAGCTCTACATGTAATTCAAATCATATCAAACAAAGTATCAAAAGAAGAGTTAGATCTTGATAGCATCCCAATGAATTTATGTTTCACTAAACTATGCTATATAGTACTCTTCATTTTACATCAATGTATATATTAATTTCATATTTTGCAATTTATTTTATTATCACTAGAATATAGTATTTTACACTATAAAAAGTTGTATACGTTTTTTTAGAATTGCTTGAATTTTAGAAATTGATATTTTTATATTTATTTATTTCATGTGCAAACATGGAATGAAGATGAATAAAAATCTCAAGATTATCACTTATAAGTTTCTATTTTTTGGAATAAAAACGAATATTTTACATAACACTTAAAAGTTCTTGACTCTTCTCACTTCACTTAATGACAATTCAAGAATATATGTAAATATGACTTCAAATTTTTACTGAATGCTTTATAAACACAACATTATTATTATCAATTGAATCAAATGCATGTTTACATTCACATGATCATATCAAACACATCAATCCTTACAATCATAACAATTGTGCATTTTTAAACTTGAGAAGAAAATTTCCCATAGATTTAACTAACATATATTCTATAGAATTTAATATGATATACATAAATATCAAATCAACACGTGGACATGTAGATGGTATGAATCATAAAAATTTTATGCATGATGAAGCTAGATCCATAAGCATGGATATTTGTTTAAGCAAAACTTTGAAAACCTGTAAAATCATTATCAAATCTAAAACTCAACCATGTATGAAAATTAAAAATTATGTAAAATTCTAATAGACATATCTTAGATATAACACTAGCCTCCAACATATATTGATGAAAATAAAATTGAATGACAACATATTTTAAATATATTTTTATTTCAAATAATCAAAACCTCATGACTCTTTGTGATTGATTTATTATGAATGTTGAAAATGATATAGTTTCAGAGCTTAAATAGTGATGATCAATAATATACTCTTCACATTTCAATGGACATTCTTACTGGATACATGTTCTACAGTTGTGATTATCAAATAAGATATATGTATCACAAGATTGAGGTAATAATGGCATAAAATCTATTTACAAAGGGGCGGTTAGTTATAATTCAGTTCGGGCTAATTAGCTCTTACTCTAGTATAAGTTGTTCACTCATTAGTGACGCCGGGTTATGGCTTCCGTGGAATGAGTAATGAACTTCGCGGGTTTTACTTCTTTTTGCTTTTTGTTCATGATGCATTAGTGGCAAGAGCCATGTCAAATCCATGCTTGACACCTCCGCGTTCAAGTTCCACTTTGAATGTTATCTCCTAGGATGGGTGGAGTTTTTCGCTCCTAGACTCTCTTGTCTTATAGTCGTCAACGGACTGCAAAGTATGTCATTACAACTAATACTTGCAAGAAGTCATACTTCTTAAAGAACTTTTATGCACTCCATGTAGTACGCCAAAAACAGCTCCTAACAAAAATGTTTGAAGTGTGTCAAAATTGTCTGCGTACAATTAATCCATGTGTTATGATAAGACCAACTTCAAACTGGATAGTCTACAATCTTTCAAATGTTGAGTATCGATGAACTCCTAGAATTTTGATGAAATCAAAATTTCATTATTTGCTATGTTTGTTGAAGAGAATGAATTAGCAAAAGTATCATGTACGTTTGTTATTTATGTTCAAACCTGGATAGTTTATGAAAATCGTAATTCGAGTAAGCGTTATGTTCGGAATCACTAAGTGCCCTGACCCGCTCACTTGGATGATACTCGTGGCTTGCAAGCAAGAATATCGTCTTCGAATTGTGAGAGACAGTTTTGAGAGTGTTATTAGATCCCAAAAATCTCAGAATATTTACAATTATGTGCTTCAGTGATGGCTCTTATTGGGGCTAGATGCAGGGCATGAATACTAAATTCAATTGAATCGTAGTCACGCCGAAGGAGGAGGATTTATTGAAATTGATTTCTGGCGGGGAGTGTGGCAGCGAATCTCCAATTTGTGACCTGCCGTTGTAAAGTTTGATATATTTTCTTATGTATCTGATGTGACTCTCGCCACGGAGTCATAATGTACGAAGAGCGGAAAGAAATAAAAACCGCAAAATTTATTATTTACCCCACAAAACCTGGTGCCATCCATGATTGAATAGGAGAGTGAGGGCTAATTAGCCCTAACTTGAGTGAAAACTAGCCGCCCCCATTTACAAAACATTCATATTGTATAAATTGCAACCATACTATGTCAAGTATGTAAATATCAAAAAAGACAATGACACGGTTACAAAGTTCACTATGGAGTTCTCATCATTTGACCGTATTGTATATTACTCAAGATATTACACTGTATATGTACACCAGGTGTATCCACACTAAATACGGGCTTGTATGCAGGAAGAGGGTGAGCCGGATCTACGCAGTCAGCTCACGAACTGTGCAGTTTAATGGACGGTAGCAGATACGCGGACAGAGCAGTAGACTGGCGGAAGGGGAGAACTTTGGCAGCGCAAGGGGAATCTTGTGATTCTTGACAGGAGCATAGTCCAGTTTAGAGAGGAACCAGAGTTGTCGTTGGGGCCTGACGAGTGCCGAGAGCAGGAACAGGGAGGGATTCAGAAGCAGAGAATCTACTTCTGCTTCTTGTGGAAGTGGGAACTCACCGATGGAAGTGGGATCATGTGATGAAGCCAGGACGTAGTTGAAGTTGTTGGTTGGGGTTTTTCCGCAAGGTTCCACGATGCTCGCAGGGCGCGGCAGGGTTTTGGCCTTGCTGCGATTGAGGACTTCAAGAGATTTAGCAGGTTTGTCTAGATTTGCAGTCATTGCGTCGGAAACCGCTCGGGTTGAGGCAGTGCTCGCATCGAAGCATCATGAAATCTCCACTTGTAGAAGGTGGTTTGGGACCGGCGAAGGTCTGGTATCTGTGATCGGAGTTTCGCACCTGACGAATCATCGCTCTTCTCCTGCTAGTGATGTGCTTTGTGGCCTGCATTCCCACGGGTATTCCACTGCCGCTGCTGCTGCCGCTGCTGCTAATTCTTCTTCTTTAAGGGCCTCTACATCTACCGGTCAGTGGTGAATTCGTCCCGATCGTTGTTATCGTGTTTTCCAGGTCCGATATGCTTTTCAATCGTCTGAAGCTCTCTGCGGCCAATATTTTTCGGAGCTGAAGTGATTGTGTTACAAAGGAATAAAAAAACAAGGCATTGATTTCAATCTTCAGATCTTTTGTTTTGGGTTTTGTTTTTAATTCACCGAGCACTTGTCCATCCATTTCCAAGTAGACCATTACCGTAACCTTTAGGCCCATCTACTTTAACTGAAAGGAATGGTCTGTTGTCTTTGCATAGTTGCGAGTGCTGTTTACATGGATCGGGAATCTCTACAGCTTCCCTGAGGTGAACTGCCGTGATTAAGTGTAGGGCTAAAGTATCTGTAAACTTTTACTAAAGGCCTCTCCTAAGTTACTTGGCCTGAGCGGATTTTCAAGCTCGCGGAGATCTGAATCTAATATTAGAATTCCCTCTTCTAGGAAGATGCGACTTCTGTCCAGAGCTGCGATTGATTTCATGTGTCTAGTTACCGTACTGCAGGCGAAGGAGGCAAGAGATGGAGGTTTTCTATGATTTTCCTGTTCTTGCCATGTTTGACGACTTTCGGGCTTGGATCCTGGCAGCTTATTCGACGGCAAACGAAGGTGGAATTTTATTGCAAGTTACTGAATTTATAGTTTCTGCTTAATCATAATCATCTCAAGGTTGGTATTAGAAAAAACAACACCGTACCTATTCTTATGACTCCTGAGAGTCAGAATCATGTTCTGCCCCGGGCTGCCGAAAGCAGAGGATACTTATTGGTCGGGGAGACATTCTCTTAAGTCAACTAGCCCAGATCGGTCGTTATAGCCAGCTGCAACGAAATGCAGGTGCTAAGTTGCTGATTGTCGTATGAGTAGGTCGGGTCAACAACTTCTTTTCAGCGAGTACAGCGAAGAACTATTATTTTCTGATCTTGTTGTTTAATTTTGCAGATAGAAACGCTTGATTACAAGAGAAAAAGGCTAGAAGAGGAACCTGTACCCCTTGGTGAAATTGTTGGTGCTACCAAAACTGGAGCCACAGTTGACGATTTGGAATATAGAAAGGTGATATGTCAAGGTGTTTATGATGGCAGTAAGTCTGTCCTTGTTGGTCCTCGAGCGAGGTCGGCCTTTGGAGTGACTCAGAAAGGCTACTACCTTATCACTCCTCTTATTGGAGGTCATGGAGATAATAGGTGGGAAGCACATTGAAATTACTGTCATTTTGAATTCTGGGCTGGTGTGAAGAACAGGAAATAACGCGGCTATTGTTTTGTTTTGAACTGGTTGCTCTATCTTTTCAGCTCTCCTGCTGAGCTTTACTCGACGTGGTTACTGATCTGGTGGGAATTTCCATGGTAGTGTGCAGGTTCCTGTCCTGGTTAACAGGGGTTGGGTACCCAGTGGCTACATTGACGAATCTCCCAATAAGGCAGCTACTTTTGAGGACACCCCAGATATTGAAGTTCCAAACATTAAAGTAGACCAGGGATCATGGTGGAAATCTTGGTTCAAGACCAGTAAGAACGAGAAGAACGATGAGGTGTGTTTGTCATTTGCATTTGTATTACGGCAGTTAATATGGGGATGAAGTCCAGTAGACGGGGATACTCAAAAAGACGAAGTGAAGCGTAACACTTGCTTTGTTGTTGTGCAGGAATTGCAGTCTTTACCGAAACATCAAGCAAGGATGACGATCTGTGGTGTGATAAGAAGCAGTGAACAGCCTAATATGTTTGTTCCTTCCAACGCTCCAGAGTCTGGACAATGGTTCTACGTGGATGTCCCAGCAATGTCCCGTGCGGTCGGCCTACCTGAAGATACTATATTGCTCGAAGCCGTGCAAGACAGTAGAAACAGCAACTGGAAGGACAAATATCCTATACCAAAGGATCCTGAAGCTCTTCTTCATGCTTCAGTCATGCCGCAAGATCATATAAACTACGCTCTTACATGGTACGTGCAGTGACGGAAGGAACGATGCTCGAAGCGTAAACTTCATATAACTGCTTCAAAGTGAAGATTATTACTTGACGTCCGGCTAAGTCACCTAAACAAACTCCCTGTTTGCGTTTGCGCAGGTATACATTGTCAGCTGCTACAACTTACATGGCTGTGAAGCGAGTAAGAAACTCTCGAAGAGGGTTCTGAAGGGCAGCAGTCCTCTATTTTGTTAGAAACACTTATGTGGGTAAAGTGTACATTTTCTACTGTCTTCCCACCAAATTTATCCAGCATTAGCTCATAAATGAGGAAATTATTGCAGGAGGTTTCACATCGAAGCTAAAATGGTTCATTAAATGAGTGAACTGTTCGACTTCTGCTCACTGTCCGAGGAGAGTATGTGTTTGGTATGACTGTAGAGCTTGTTGTTCCGTGAGGTTTGCCAATTTTTATAAGAGTTCATACCGAAAAGCTGGTAATAATTATTGCTCGGATATAATGCACATACAAGGCTGTGAGTCTTGAACTTTCTTCTTTCCTGCTTCTGAGTCATGTACAAATATTTTATGTGAATTCTTTTATTGCAGTATTGTACGCCCCGTCACTCGCCATTATATAGAAGCAAAACGAGCCCTAGAGTGAGTCGGCGCGAAGGTGGACACATCTGGCACCACTTCTTCGAACTTAAATGATGTTTTTAAAGACAGTTGAAATTGTTACACTCGAGAGAAAGCCAAGGGCGATAATTTACGGAACGGATCAGAAGGATACAAAACGTTCGGATATGTATGTATCTACCGCTTTGACTATGAGCTTCAAACTTCAAAAATCATGTAGGAAGGGAAAGTACATATCCTAGTCACGTTGTTCCCTTCCAAATATTGATTAAGTCACAGCAGTCACGGAGATGATGTGAGTTTTATCAAGTCAAGTCAGCGTGTCTCCTTAAGGACAATCAAGGAATGTTTTTCCAGATATATCTTGTATTTCTGGGTATTAGATTCAGATAAGATGTAGTGTGGAGTATTGTTGTCTTTAGGTACATCTTGTAGATATGCGTTATTCTGAGCCTCCATGATCCTAAGCTAGAGTAACAGAAAATCTTTCGAGCAATTGTGAGAAACTGATGTTGTCCAAGATGTGACTCTCGTTGAATATCAGATTTATCACAGAATCCAGATAGGTATGGACTGGACAACGGCCAAATTCTTGAAACAGCAAATGTTAGAGGAGAAGGTCAGATTGAGCTCGCAGGTTCTCCGAGGATCGATACCCTATCAAGGTTTGGAAAGATGCACAGGAGATTCTCAAACTCAGTAATAGCAGGAACAAAAATGTCAATCATATTGGTAGACTCGTCACAGTGGTGACGAGTTTGACTATTGTTTGACAATTGCTCAACTTTGTGCACATGATAGGAACAGATTGGAGACTAGCGAAATTCTTGAAACAGTAAGTGTTATAGGAGAAGTCTGTTTGGTCTCGCGGGTTCTCTGAGGAAATTTATCATGCGGAGGTAATTGTCTCATCTGAATTAATTTCAGAAACAGTCATCCTGCTACAGGTTGATGACAAGTTGTTATTGAAATCATCAACCTTCACTTCTGAGTTGATTGTGAAACATTAGTAATTTTAGATGGTCATTTATATTTGATGTATAATATAAATGGACGACAATCATCAAAATTTATGTAATGTCATTGTTCATTAAATAATTGCTTATATGCACGAACATTACTCACGGCTATCACCATTTGCAATGCATCTAAAATTAGGCTCGATAGTATCGTTAGTATAAATGTGGTGGAAAGGGTGGAGCAAACTGTGGTTAAAACCACTTGGAGCCCAGCTAGATGTGGGGTCGATATTATTGTCAGCATTTATATTGTTGAAAAAAATTAACAGTTTGTTTTAGTACTTAAGATCCGCACTTTAAAATTGAGCTAATTGTTATGAAGAATAATTAATGAGAGAAAGTATATCTTTGATGGATGATTTGAGATCAAATCATGTGTACTCTATTGTAAGCGTTAAATATAGGCCGATTGTTTTGTGGGCATATTAAAATCAAAATTATGGTTCATTTCCATTGGTTTATCATGAAAGATTAAGTCATGTGTGATCTCTGTAATAAGACTTACTTATAGATTGGATGTATTGTGGGCATATAAAATAATCAATAGTATACCGGTCAATTACCATTGACGGATCACGAAAGACATATTTGTAAAAAGAAAATAACTTTGAGTAGACAAGGAGATCTGTATACATATATAAAGTATGGATGCTGATAACTTTTGAGTCAAATACATAGTATCTTAAATAGAATTGTGCACAATCGTAAATCAAGTTCATATTCTATATACTTAACCTAATTCAACTAACCCTTTATCCGGAAATATCTTCTATACTTTTAAATTACAAAAGCCTTGATTGTATCTCAGATCAATGACATGATGACATACTTTAAATTATCATCAATATTATCTTGGTCATCTCTTACATCAGATCTGCTGATAAATATCAAATTTCAAATTTTAATAATAGAAGTCATTATTACTATTTATCATATACTTTTTAGTATGAACAATATTTCACTTTCATGCTTTATATATATATATCTAAATTTAGATGTTTTCAACTGAATGTGGTAATTGCAAAGTAAATTACAAACACCCAGATTATTTGAAATTTATCATATCAATTTTATTATTTTTACACATTTTTATATAAAAAATACTTTATTAGTTGATCCTTTTAGAAAGATAAAATAAACATACAACTGTATGTAATGTTTGTGCCATTCAAAAGAATAAATTTTAACATTGGCAACATTTATCCAATCTAAACGAAATACCATTTCATTCATCTGAAGAAGCATGATGCAGAATGACAACTTAAAATGTATCCCAAAAGAATAATGCAAAATGTTAAAGATATCAAATCAATCCAAGAAAACATATGGTATAATTAATCGAAAATTTTAGTTTAGAAAATTTGTGACTTCCAGTCAAAGAATTTGATGTTTATAATGTACTTCTTATAATTTCTAAAAATCTTTACAATGAAATGAAGTTTATTATTTTGCAACTCTGAAAATCAAAGTTTTTCAACATGAACATAGCAAGTAATGTATCTTATGTTTTTCATATTCTATAACATAATCAAACTTTGGATCAGTTAAAAATTATGTGATAAAACTACAGTATGTTGCTACTATTATTAACATGAAAATTCTACAACACCAAGTCTTGTATTGATATACTTTTAGTTAATTTTTTTAAATCGATATAAAGAATATTTCATCAAGTTAAACATGCAGATTTTACCAATACCGTACTTTTCAACATACCCTCTGTACTTTACTCGAAATTTGGATTCAGATTCTAAACGCTAACACATAAAATACATCTATTTTCATCAGAACAACTTTGAATCAATTATGCTGTTAGATCTTTCTCCTTATCTCCACTTTGTTGATGTCTTGCATAATTTACAATAATCTAAACTTCAATTATTATTAATCAGACCATCGCTAATTCATATACCATCATTATTGAAATTTATGCTTCTTCCCTTGCCACCTCTTACTTATAATTGCTACCAGGATACTGAGAGTTTTTCAATATAATCTAAACGTGCACTCTCGACACTAAATCTTGTTACTATTATACATCTTGGGTTTGAAACTCTCGTGTTCAATTGATTGCGAATTGTAGATTTCACACGAAAATTATAACTTTGACAATGTGAACGATAATGATGCGTCACCGAAACTACTTTCACGGCAGACCCATACCTATAATGATTTCATGAATGTTGAAAAGTCAAGTCAGGTATCTGGTCCTACGCCTATCCATATGAAGGCAATTATTGAGACGATAACTTAGCGGAGATATTGCGCAATGCTCTAGCGTTAGGAATCAAAAACCTCGCAACGATTCGAGTTTCTACCGGAGTAAAATCAATGTAAATGAGAACTCTAAAATGCGAATCAGCGAGATATTATCGTCGGTTAGCTGCTGATATCCTGCTGATAATGATGTACCGACTCTAGAGTCAGAATTATGCCTGGTTTGCTTTCGAGCCGTCCAACAAACAGTAACGCTGGACTCGTTTCGTTCAGGAGAAAGTAACAAGACTAGTTTACACGCAGACGTCCTCGAAGCCAAACACATCTAATAAATTGTATACGAGGTTAAGACATACAATTGGTGTGCTTGGATATTCTATCCAAAATTGTCAGACACATACGGAAAAGTTTGGACTGATGTGTTTGATTTCACAACAGCGTGAGAAGTAAGGCTCACGCTCTAACTCAGATACTCAAATCATCCGATGATTCAATGAGTGCAACTCTCACCGCATGGCTAAAGGTCGATCCAAACCTGGGCGACGTCCCCAATCTCATCTACGAAAAGGGGCCTAAAAGAAGCCCAAAAGTAGGTGGCAACCGAGTACAAGGTGCCTGTCGTGGCAAACTTAGAGACGATGGCAATCTGGTTTGACATACGCCATGACCTCATCTTGGGAATTAGACTCCTGCCATGGCTCCTCGACTCACGAACCACGAGGTCCGGATTTCAATTACCACTTCTAGGGACAACACATGGAAATGGACAAGATCGACCGTTCGACTTGGACGCCGGAGCTAATTGCCACGTACAAGGAGCTACCTCGTTTCGACAACTTTGAACATTCCTGCCTGACAGATACAGAGAGATAGAGAGCGTGGTTGCGGGAAAGTGATGGCAGTGGAGGACTCTCATGTACCTGTACCTTGGAAAAGAAGAAATTGATGGATTGATGATACTGAGGCTGAATAGGTCTCGGTTGCTTACAGTGACGCCTGCCGCATAAGTGAGTGTCGTGGCACCACCGCATTCGTTGAATAAAGGTCCACAAGATTGGTCGGGAGTTCGTTGAATTGCAGGCCTTTTGAAGTGAACCTTGTGTCCTCCCTGTGCTGGACTGTACCGTTCCATCATGTATCGAGACAGTACTGCACTTCCGAATATAGAGGGCCCAAGGCTTCCTCCCGTCCCCGTTATAGCTTCGGATCGGACGGAGTCACGAGTCCTCGAACGTAATGAGCTCCGTCCTCTTTAGATCTGCTCCCTCTGCGGAAAGAAACCGTTTTACAAAGATCTGTGGCCAGTTCCTTTACGTGGGAAGTTGTAATAGCTTTGCTTGCGTGTACATGATAAAAAGAGCTGATAATGGCTACGCCCTATCATTTTCGCTCGTGTATCAGAAGTGGGCTATCTCCAATAGGTATCACCGTATGAAATATGTACTACTTCATCTAAACTAGTCTAATATACATAAGTAATAAATCATTAGTCATCCTAACCAGAAGGTCCAAGTGCTAAATCGAAAGAAAGGTATACTCATCAAGTACTAAAAGCATGACAGCAACTAATTACTTAAAATAAATTTTATACCCAAAAACACCTGAATTATAAAATAATTTTTATGAATAGTCTACAGATTGTAAAGATATAAATTATATCACTGAAGCTTAAAAGATGACTGCTAATAGACCTGTGTGTCTATTAATAAATATTCTTGTGTTAATGATGAAATTGTTGAAAATATTCCGGTGACATCAAATCAAGATTTGATTAAATTTTATTTTTAACAAATTTTAATAATGAAAATATTAGTTTCATTATTTTTCTTTATGACATTATACAAAAAAATACACCAAATAAATTTTTTTTACTATCATTAGAATGGATTACAAATAAATTTCACTTCAATCTTTGGATTCTCCTTAATGTAAAGAAACCTAAGCTTTGAAAGTCAAGCAAAGCTGTTTAGTCTATAAAAATTAAATATTAATGGAATGCGAAAACTTTAAATCTCATCTTTTTTTAATTGCATTTGATTTAAAGGGTAATAAAAGTTAAACATTCATAGAATCTGCATAAATAAATTTTTTTGAACATATAAATACTTTTCACTTATCATGCATTCTGTTTTTTTTTTTAAATTGGCTTTAAAATTTTCAAAATAAAGCATAAAAAGTGTAAAGTATTATTTTCATATATTCTATTTATTCAAAATTATTATTTATTTTATTTTATTATTCAATATTTAAAAATTTTCAAATTCAAATATAAATGATGTGTATATGACAATAAAATGAAGATCTAATCAGAAATTTTAAACAAAACGAAAAAAACCTCTTTTTAAAAAAAAATGAATTTCATTCTTTAAAAATATTAAATAAATTTTTTTAATATGTATAACTATAAAAATATGATAGATTATAGCATAATATTTGAAAAAAATCTATAACTTTTAAGCCTCAAATAAATTGCAATGTAAATCTTTCTTAATACACATTTCAGAACAATAAGTTCTATTTGATGAAGAGTAGTAATAATTTGAATTTGTATAACAAAACATTGCCTAGCCAAACATGTATATACTAGTGAGCACTAATCTCTATATTGATCTAGCTATGGACAAAATTAGCATATATGTATGTCAAAATCAAGAAAGATGACTTAAAAAACTATGAAATCACAACTCAGTAGTAATACTAAGAATTATAATTTTTTTATTGAAAGCTATTTTTCCTTCAATGAAGATGTATACATAGAAATCTATATTGATATCAAATGAAA